TGCCAGCTTAGGCCCAATCCCCCGGGGAGCAGGCCTAAGCCAGCAGGTGGTCATTCCCCAAGGGGTCCCAGACTGCAAGAGGGCACAGGCCGTGCTGAGGGACCTCCTCCCTGCCCGAGTACACCAATTTTTGTACACTGGGCCTCTAGTATAGTATAAAGAAAGAACACTGGATTAGGAATCAGAAAACCTGAGTTCTAGTTTAGACTCAGCAACTAACTTGACTTGGCCCAAGACTCATCATCTTTCTGGGTCTCCACTTTCTTATTATTCTACTGAGAGCATATGACAAGTTGATGTCTTAGGCTCCTGTCAGAACTAACATTCTATGAGTCCAAGTTGTTGGAACCGATGGACTTATAAATCTACTGATTCATGTATATTATTGCAATATTATATTATAGGTATAAATTATAATATAAAACATTCATTGCCCATAGATGAAAAACAGTTGTTTTAGAAATAATTTTACATGCCAATGACATAAAATTGTTTTTTATAGGTACATTCCTCTCATTGAAAGGAGCTGTGCTAACATTCTCCTGTATGGATCGAACTGGTGGATTAATGCAACCACCATATGAAGTTTGGAGGGACCCAAACAACATAGATGAAAATGAAAAATCTTGGAGAAGGAAACTGGTCGTGAACTGCCCCTCTCTGTCACAAGAAACAGGAGATCATCAGTATACAATAATCTGCTCAGAAAAACAAGCCAAAGTTTTCTCACTGCCTTCTCAGACTTGCCTTTATGTTCATAACATCACCGAGACATCTTTTATACTGCAAGCAGATGTGGTGGTCATGTGTAACAGTGCCTGCTTGGCATGCTTTTGTGCCAATGGGCATATCATGATAATGAGGTACTTGCCTTCTTTATAAATTATCTGGTAATCACAACAGTGCCAACAAAGTGCAATTCTGAGAAGTATATGTGTAATCTGCAAGATGTTATCAAGAAGCAACCTGAGACCCTTGTTTCATTGTGTTTTTGAGTGTCTTATTGTTCTACAATTTGAGAAGAGTTTAGCTTTTTTATTTTTTGTCTTGGTTGGGTGTTTTGTTTTGCTAAAAATGCTTTGCATTGTGAATAAAAAATATATTTTAATTGACATTAAGGAATCTAAGGAAAGAGTGATTTTCCAGTCACTCACACATTCATTCAGCAAATATTTATTGAGTATATGTCATCTCCCAGAAGTTATACTAGGCACTGGAAATATAAAGATAAAGAAACTATAAGGAAAATAAGTGAACTGTTACTTTTACTGTGTTTCATAGTCCACATGAGAATTTTACATACAGAATTTAATTTGATCCTTTTAGCTTCTCTAGGACATAGAAAATACAGTATTATTTGCATCCACTATTGTACACATGTTAGTGAATTAACCTCTTCCCCACCACCAATTAATTTGACTGAATCTCTCATGGATGTCTGTTTAACTGGGTGTGTTTTGGACTCATGTCCAAAGGAGCTTAGTTACTTGAAATGCCATAACATACACTTTTTAATAATTGTTTTTATACTAAGTCTTTGAAATCCAGTATATAGTTTACACTTACAGAACATCTCAATCCAGACGAGCCACATATCAACTGCTCAATAGGCACTTGTGGCTAGTGGCTACCACCTTGGACAGCACACTGCTAGGACCTTATGGAAAGCTTATTCCAACAGCACATATTTCAGGTCTCATTTTATATGATAAGGTTTAAATTGTAATTACAAACTATTTTCAGATGGGAAATTAGTACTTTTTTTTCAAGGTGCTGGTTTTATAATCTGGAATAATTTAAAATCACTGTGCATATGGGAATTAGTAGGATGATTTCAAAGCTTGAGATATAATTACAAGTTTATTTTTCTCCAATTGGCATTTGAGGTGTGATTTACAAGCAATGAGATATTTCCTTCAGTAGTTTGTAAAATTGGCTCTAATAACAATATCCAGGGGAGATTGTTTAAAAAAATGGATTTAAGGGAAATCACTGGCTATAACATTAGGATAAGCATATAGCCTTTCAGTAAGACACTAGGAGATGAGTGGTATTCATCTGAATGTACAAATTCTCATCTGTTATGTATAACTTATTCTCATTCCCTTACAGCCCTGGCCATGCTTATATTTATTAATCATGCCTTCAGTGTAGTTATAGGTAATTTCCATTTCCTGTGTACTGAGGGAGTAAAGAAATGGAAAGCGAAGCCACTGCATTCCCAGGCACAGTGAACTGGATCCACTCCATGTCTCCATCAGTTCATAAACCTCCTCAAACTCGGGAGTTTTGCCCTAAAAGACCAAGTATGTAGTCAGGCACTTTCTAGCGGTAGTGTTTCTGTCATAACCAAAGATTATAACCATACTGTAGAAACCTGTGAAATGCTGCAAAAAGTATCCTGAAATTGCTGGCCACTTCACTTAATTTGATCTTCAAGGACATTTGCTAAGTACTAGATGGATTAAGATAGAAGAATTGTGCCCATGATTTTTTATGTATACGATTTTATGTCAAAGTCATTTTATTACCACTGAGACTTCAAGAGATTGAAAAGAAACAACCACAAAATAGAGGCATAAAAATTACTGTTTTTCTGTACAGCTTTTAAGAAATTAAAAGCTTCTAACAATTTGAATATAATGTGGATTTGCTTTTTTTCCCATGCAGCCTGCCTAGTCTTCGCCCAATGTTGGATGTTAATTATTTGCCACTGACAGACATGAGGATAGCACGGACATTTTGTTTCACTAATGAAGGACAGGCATTATACCTAGTCTCTCCTACTGAAATTCAGCGGTTAACGTACAGCCAAGAAATGTGTGATAATCTACAGGTAGGTCAGGCACAAAAAAAAATCATTGGAATGGTTGTAAAAAGAGAGAGAATGAGAGAAATGTCAAAAAACTAAAATACTGCCCAGGTCAGTGTGGCCTAGCTGGTTGGAGCATCTTCCTGTACACCAAAAGGTGGTGGGTTCAATTCCCTCAGGGCACATACCCAGGTTGTAGGTTTGATGCCCAGAGTGCATGCGTGAATGTGTGTGTGTGTGTGTGTGTGTGTAGGGGGGGAAGGGGGAAAGTGGCGCATAACTAGTTGATGCTTCTCTCTTTCTCCCCCCTCCCTTTTTCTCTTTTAAAAAATAATTTTTTTAAAAAAAAGCATTGTTTAAAAATAAAAAATAAAAGCTAAAATATTATTGGGCCAGACAATAAATATGCCTTTCCTAGAATATGTCTTGAATATTATGTTCATCACTGTGACCCTTACCAAGTGTGTTTCTAGGTATACACAGAAAAAGTAAGTAAGGGGGGGAAATGTGAAGATTATGCATATTAATGGTTAATTTTTAAATTTGGGGTGTTTTTTTGTGTTTTTTTTTGTTTTTTTTACCTTTGGAGAATGCTCTGAAAGATGATAAACTCTTCCTCCAGGATGGAGAATATGTCTGTACACACAAAAACTTTGCATACAATTCAGGGAGTTCATTGACCTTTCTTAAGGAAAACTTAATTTGGTTAACAGCCATACAAAAGAAACACATACTTATTCTGTGGGTTAGAATTGGGCATTTGTCCTTGATCATAGCAGCAAGCAGAGCCTAGAAACAGAATAAATATAAAAGCCTGTGTAACCTTGGGTAAGTACAAGTGGTCACAAAAATTTAAAAATATCTTAGAAATTTTATTGGCTCAATCCCCTTATTATACAAATAAGAAAACTAAAAGCCATTCATTATAACACAGAGTTTAAGAGTATAAGCTCTGAACCATTTAAGTGTATTTTGCCCACTTGCAAAACTGTGGGTATTTTACTTAGCCTACCAGTATGCTCTACCTTAGAGCATCATGTGATAATTAAGGAAGAATTGATATAAAGCACTGACCACAGTGCCTGAAATATAGAAATTTTTAAAATAAATAATGTTATTATCATTACTCAACAAATACTGAGTTGATCCTGTATGCCTGGTACTTGGCTAGGCTCTAAGAATATAATAATAAACAACATATAAGTCCCTACCTGCTAGAGTGGAAGGAGACAACAATACTCCGAGGAAATGCTGTCTATAGATGGCTGAGCCGGTACTGGGGAGACACGTAGAGGATGATGAAAAGAGTAAGTGGGCAGTTAAAAAAGCATGTGAAGGGTGAGTAGGAGTTACCCAGGGGAATGGCTGGCTGTGGGTGGAAAAGGTGATAATATTCTTGCCAGAGAGGCTTAGGAAACTGCCAACAAAGTTCAGAGTTGGGAAGTGAAAAGAGTGAAGGATGGTGCTGGAGATTTAGTCAAGAATAGAGCTTAGATCACCTTTAAGCTCCATCTATCCAAAGGGCATTTTCCCCAAGGGCAACAGGAAGTCATTTAAAAGATTTAGCAAAGTGTTTATTGAAACTAGTATTCTGTTGGCAGTATAGCAATTGGTTTTGAGGAATTAAGACTGAAGGTGGGGAGAGCAATTAGGAGGCTTTTAAAAAATAATTAAGGCCAAAAATAACAGTGGCTTGAAATGAGGCAGCCAGCAGTGAGGATGGAGAAAGTTAGCAGATTCAATAGCTAAGAAGTGTAATCGGTGGGATTGGAGGATTATTAGCTGTAGGAGTGAGGGACAGGAAGGAATTAACTATTCTTGGGTTTCTAGCTTGGGAAACTAAATAGATGGTATACTGCCAATTCCAAAGAGAAAGGATTAAGGAGGAGAGCTCAGGTCTGCTGAGTGGAGGTGAGGGAGATGAAGATGAAGTCATACAGCAAGCTCCTAGACAAACTGGCATTAGGTCACAGATCTGACTTGTGGTTGATGTCCCTTCCCCCATAGTGATAGTTCTCAAATTTTGATCTGCTTTAGAAAGACCTGGAGAGCAAGTGTAAAGTAGAGATAACCAGAGTGCATTTTTGTAGATTCTGACTGAGTGTGTGTGGAGTATTTCCAAGATTTTTCTCGTCACTGAAGCACACCAAAGTGAGAACAACTCACCTGTGCCTCACCACGCAGTAGCTGCCTATCTGACTCATTTAAATCATCTTAAGCCATTTCATAATTTTGTACTTGATATGAAAACAAATCAAACCTCTCTCCACATCCCACCACAGGCTTCCCATCTTATAGGCACTCATGCTTATTCGGAGAGGGACTAGGTCAGGCAGAGGCTACAGTAATTGAAAAAGATCAGAAGTCTAGATTAATAGTCATTGACCAAGTGAAATTAACCCTAGAGTGAACATACTATCTTCCCATGCTTTCTAATTGTAAAGGGAGTAAGAGCGCAGGAAAATGAAAAGTTTAGGATAGCGATTCCTAAAGAAGAAAAGGAAAAGAAGGAGAGGGAATGACAGAGACATGGCTGGGAGCAAAGCAAAATCATAGAAAAATATGGAAAGCAAACTGTCTTTTCATGATGTGCTCTCACAACCACAGTGTTATCTTTTGATCTATTAATTTATTTGTAGTTACTCCAATGCTTTTTCTTTGAATTTCATACAGGACATGCTAGGAGATTTGTTTACCCCCATAGAGACACCAGAAGCTCAGAACAGAGGTTTCCTAAAGGGACTGTTTGGTGGAAGTGGACAAACCTTTGACAGAGAAGAGCTCTGTGAGTAAACTCCTGATCCTAAAATTGTGTCACAAAATAGAAGATGCTTGTGTGTGTGTGTGTGTGTGTGTGTGTGTGTGTGTGTGTGTGTGTATAACTTAACATAATATATGACTTCAAATTCTAGACTGGATTATTTTGCTTCTATACCATGAAAATTATTTCTGTTTATCAAACCTGAATAAAGTTGACCACTTTATATTAGGAAATAGTTTAACAAAAATAGTACATGAAATTCATGCAAATAACGAGTAAGCTAATAGATGGGTCGTTTGCAAGTAGATCATGCCTGCATGGCAGGGTGAAGACATTCAGTTACTAATGCCTGTAAAAAAACATTTTTGAACCTGCCTGCCTTTAACCACTGTTAGGAAACAGTTTTTTTCTTCAGAACACAAGGTTTATCAACACTAAAGAGCAAATTACTTTAATATCTACCACTGAGACTCTGATGACCAGTAATAAAAAAAGAAGTAGATAGATACTAGGCAACATTTTTAGAAAGAAGTCAAGAATATATTTTCCTTGTACACTGCTAGTGGGAATGTAAATTTGTGCAGCCACTATGGAAAATGGTACAGATATTCCTTTAAAAAATTAAAAAATAGAGCTAGCTGCCATATGACCCAGCAATTCCACTCTGGGTATTTGTCCAAAGAAAACAAAAACACTAATTAAAAAACATAGATGTACCCCTATGTTCATTGCAGCATTATTTACAGTATCCAAATATGGAAGCAACCTAGGTGTTCATTGATAGATGAGTGGATAAAGAAGATATGGTGTGTGTATGTGTGTGTGTGTATATATATATATATAGGAATATTACTCAACCATAAAAAATAATGAAATATTGCCATTTATAACAATATGGATAAACCTAGAGGGTATTATGCTAAATGAAATAAGTTAGATGAGAAAGACAATACTGTGATTTCACTTATATGATTTTACTTATATGTGGAATCTAAAAAGCAAAACATATTAACAAACAAAACAAGAACAGACCCATGGATATAGAGAACAAGTTAATGGTTTCCAAAAGGGAGGAAGGTTACAAAAAGGGTGGGGAGAATAAGGTTTTCTAGAACATCTTATCATCATTTGATCTTGCAGATAAAAAATCTTTTACTAGTAAACTTTCACCTATGCAAAACATCTAGGTACTTCCATACAATGCAATATTTATTCTTCAGTCATAAAAAGGCATGAAATTTGATATATGCCACAACATGGATGAACCTTGAAAACATCATGCTAAGTTAAAGAAGGAAGATGAAAAAGGTCACATATTATATGATTTATTCCATTTATATAAAATGTCCAGAATGAGAAATCCATAGAGACAGAAAGTAGATTAGTAGTTGCCAGGCACTGGGGCAAGAAGTGACTGTTTAATGGTTATGGCGTTTCTTTTGGGGTAATGAAAATGTTCTAAAATTAGATAGTGGTGACAGTTGCACAACTCTGAATACACTAAAAACCACTGACTTATACACTTTAAAGGAAAAATTTTATGGTATGTGAATTATATCCCAATAAGGCTCTTATAGACCTACATTCCATTCCTAATGTTGCCTCTTTGGGAATGCTCACTAAATTTTTACCAGGCAGTTGTTTTTCAATTTTTAAAAATTACTTCATAAAATTAAATGAAACTGAGCTTTGTAAGTGATAGGTAAATGTTTAGTCTTTTATGAAGTAACAAAATTTCATCATATGTATATTAATGCCCATCATGCATATACTCCATTCTCTAATATTTACACACACACACAGAGAGAGAGAGAGAGAGAGAGAGATTTAAAAACAACTGAGACCTATAAAGGCTGATAGCAAGATAAACAGAGAACACTGGAATAAAGACTTGGGCCGAAATTTAAACAAAAGAACAGACCTGTGATTGGAACAGACACTAATGTGAGTTCACATATGTTGTGAACTCCCCAATTCAGCAACATCAAGAATGCAATTATCGTGCTTCCTGTCAGGATCAGAGTTCCCACACTGGGCTCCCCAGCACAGGGCTCCAGTAGCAGGAAGAAGAGTCCCCGTAACATCTGGCTATGAAGAGATGTGGGGATCGAATTTGGGAAGGACAGGAGGCTACTGGAGACTGTGGAGAACCTCAAGTTGCTTGTTACACAGACTCACTCACTCAAAAACTCATAAACTCTAATTTCCAGCACAGGAGCAGCACCTCGAAAAGCTCCGGGGCAGCAGGGAGGAACTAAATGGATAACTTCAGGGCAAGGCTGGAGGGGCAGGGCCAGAGCAGCTCTCCAGGGACAGAGCCTGGCAGGTGCCTTTGTTCCTTTGCGGAGCTCCCCTCCCAACCCGCCACCAGCGCAAGAGGGCACCACATCTGTGCTCCCCATTCACCAGATTAGCACTGTCCACCCGGCATGGTGATTCCCTGACACCCATCCCATTCAGCTCACCTGCCTGGCCCCAGCCTCTTCCAGTGGCTCCTCCACACAAGAGGCCCAACTTCCCCAAAATCTATCAAAGGTCCAAAAACCCAAACAAGCACAGCCGACTAGAAAAACTTTTCTAAAAATAACAAATAAAACACAAACTCATAGATACAGAGAACAAATTGGTAATGGCCAAAAGGGAAGGGTCTGGAGGGTTGGATGAAAAAGGTGAAGGGATTAAGAACACAAATGGCCAGTTATCATGCCAGTTGTCAAAACCATCATGGGGAGGTGAAGTACAGCACAGGGAATATAGTCAATAGCATGTTAATAACTATGTGTGGTGTAAGATGGGTACTAGACTTATTGGGGTGGTCACTCCATAAAGTATATAAATATATATGTCTAATCACTATGTTGTACCCCCTGAAACTAATGTAATATTGTATGTAAACTGTAATTTTAAAGTAACCAAAAAATGTGATTAGGCCATATTGTGTGGCATACACACACACACACACACACACACACACACACACACACACACACAAAGGGATGTGGCAACAATAGCTGTCACAGTCTCTTTGGTAGGCATTTTTCTTGGGTAAGTGCAATGATAGGGTCAAATATGTCTGTCTCTTACTGGAGAAGTGTGAAGTAGGACTTAATATAAGTACTTCGGTGATAAACTTGAATGCCACCATTTGAATTACTGACAAATGTTTTCTGTTGCTCTGGCTTGAATTCCCAGTTGGGGAAGCTGCAGCAGGAAAAGCATCCCGCAGCCTTGCCCAGCACATTCCTGGCCCGGGCAGCATAGAAGGGATGAAAGGCGCTGCAGGCGGGGTGATGGGAGAGCTGACCAGAGCAAGGATCGCACTGGACGAGAGGGGGCAGAGGCTAGGAGAGCTGGAGGAGAAAACTGCAGGCATGATGACCAGTGCGGAAGCATTTTCCAAACACGCACATGAGGTAACTAAGTAAATGTAGGCATCTTCACACAGTAATAACTTGAACTATGTAGGTCCAGCACAAGAAAGCTTAAGTAGAGATGCCACTCATTGTAAGTCATCCTGGATCCCACTACAGTCCCTCCAGTACTTGGGAGAAAAATCCTTTTTAAAAATGCTGTAATACATTGATACATTATCGTGGGATAACCTAGAAGAAAATCAGCCATTCGTTCTGATATGCTGTAGGTTGTGCATCTGCTGCTAACGTGGAGAGTCCAGGCTCCACACACTCCTTTTTGTCTCAATCACTGAAAATTATTTCTTGTCAGCCGAGTATTTATAGCTTGGTTTGTTTTCCTTAAAAAAACCTTTGTCATTATTTCACAAAGAAAGTTTTATAAGTTTTAAGATTTACTGAGATATTCATGATTAACTCAATATAAGCTTGCTTGCTTAACACTTTTTAAGATTTTTTTTTAACATCTCACAGTGACTATTTTTTCTTTGCAGTTAATGCTGAAATATAAGGATAAGAAATGGTACCAATTCTAAACTTCTAAAGAAGCTGTGACTGCTTTGAGAAACCATTATTCAGGGAAACCAAATTTAATTCCCAGCATCACTATTCAACTGCTAGAAGCCAGTTTCTTCTACAAAATGTCCATTACAGTCCATCTGAAGTTGTCATAAGAGAGACTTATCAGAGACACTGTACAACCGAAAGGCTGGAACCCTGGCTAGAATCCCAAGGTATGGCTGCATTTGCCGTTTCCCACGTGGAATGGAGCTATCGTCTTGGCATGTCATTTGCTAAGGATTTACATTTAGGAACTATGGGGAGTCCTCCTGATTTGAAAAAATCCTGTACAAACAAAAGCATTAATGCGCTTAATGAAAAAAATCTTTGCATGATAAATTAACATCTTAAGAGGAAAAGAAAAAAAGCATGTTGTGACAGAAGAAAAAAAGATTAATGGTAAACTATTTTTATAAATTGGGCCACATCCGGCAATTTTAAAAATCTGCATTAGAAGTTATCAGTGCATTTCTAGTACATTTACCATACAACTGAAAAGGAAGAGAAAACAAAACCAAAGTTTTCTTCTCATCCACAACTTTCATTAGACTAAAACATTACTGAATTCTGGTGGCAAGCGTCTGATTAACGTTCCTCTCGCTCCATAATATGATCATTCACAGTTCTTGGTCATAATCAAGTATTGCCAATACAGTAAATTATTTCTAACACAATTATTTCCATTTCTATCACTTTCAGAACAAGTTGCTATTTTTAGTCACAAACTATGCAGGGTTGGGACACCGCAAAGCATTTTTCAGCTGGTTTTGCTCTGCAGGGGAGCTGACTGATAGGTTTGGGAAACTAGACTGACTCTAGGAACAATGCAGTTAGCTTTGAGGACTGATTTCACACACTCTGGTTTCAGTTTCTAAAGTGGTATATTCTTAATGCTCCATTTGTATCCTTGTCTGCCAATTACACAGTATATTACTGTTCATACCCAGGGGTGTGGGGGGGGTCTTCAATCCAAAGGTGCTCTTGCAGCCGGACACTCACAGACCAAACTGGTCATTCTCTTCAGCATGATTCAGTAAAACCTCAGTTAATGTTTTGGGAAAGGAATTCTGATTTATTACATTTCTGATTAACAAGGGCTTTCATTAGAAAATAATTTTGGTTCAATACTTATTATTGAAAATCTTTATAAAATATAGTGGTGTTTTTGCTACCTTAGTCACCATTATGCACAACAGAAACACATAGAGAGTTTAATGATACAAAACCAATAATTCTGTCATTCATTAGACTAAATAATATAGAGGGTTAGTGTCAATAGATACCAAATACCTATTCCTTAATTAAAAATGTCTTCAACATGAAATAAAGACTATCCTTCACATGACAAAAGGCATCTATCATAACTCAACAGATGACAACTGGAGGGAAAACAAAACAAGCACACCCGCTGTCATTACTTAACATGAGTCTGGAAGTCAAAAGTCCCAGAAGTGAGTAAATGCAGATTCTAAAAAAAAAAATTAATGGGTTTGGCTTATTTAATTTTGATTAATCAAGATCTTACGAGATATACATTTGTGTTTTAAGAATTCTGCATTTTCCTGAAGTCAGGTTCTTTTAAGAGCCAAAAATAGTATTTCTTGGGTTTTTTAAAAAAGATTTTTTAAAATCTTTAGTGCATTTGAACTGGCACTTCCTTTAAATGTTATTAGTCATTTGAGAAGAGCCAAGATGATTGAAAGAGTCAGCTAATGTATGCCAGGATAGCGTTTCTCAGACTCCTTGAATTTGCCCGATATCTCATAAAAGCCTCTCCACAAAGCTCTCCAGATTCCTGTGAACAGTTAGGGTAACAAAACCTGACTTCAAAATGCAACACGATACATAAAATTATATAGTAAAAATGTTAAAGAAACTTGAGACCAGGATTTGGGAAACATTGGTAGTCAAGTTGCAGTGCACTATTTATACCATCTCGTTCAAGGACCCAGTTTTCTGAACAGATACTTTATCATTTCTATATTTTTTTTAAAAAACTTTAAAAACTACAATATTAGTTTATTTTAGGAACAATGAAATTCAGTCTAAAGTGGCATTAAGTACAGTAGCTCTGAAGTCCCCAATAAGATCTGATTTAACTTGGTCTAGCTCGGGTGTCTCAGCCATGGCACTGTTCACTGACTCTTCATTGTGGGGACTGTCCTTTGCACCTTAGGATGTTCAACAGCAGCCCTGGTCTCTGCCCACCAGATGCCAGTAGCAACCCCTGAGTAATAACAATCAAAAATGTCTCCAGCCATTGCCAAAATTGCTCCCAATTGAGAGCCACTGTTCTATACAAGGACAGGTTAAGTGTGAATATGTAATATATGTCTAGTATAAAATTAAACATCATAAGTGCACAGTGTCTTAACAAGATAAATTATTTTACCCAGAATTACATGTGTGGTTCATATGCAATAAAATCCTATTTTGGAGAGAGCTTATATGAATCAGTAAAAAAATAACAGTTACAGAATATTTTAAAGCCTACAGAGAAAATACCAAAAAAAGACAGCATAGCATTTCACAGTAGAAGTGCTTAAAACTCTGGCTTTAATGAATAGATAAAAAGTCTATAATTAGCACAATTGGAAGTAAACAGGTGCTTCTGAAATGCTTGAAAAGAACAGGTTCTTTTTAAATTAATCTTTCAATATTGTTTTTATAAACCCTCACATAATGTAAGGGTAACCTTATCCCACAAACTCCTGATTAGTGGAATACAAATTAATGAGGTTTTACTGTATCAAAATAATTTTTATAATGCAAAGAGATAGCAATAACAAGAATCTAATGTGGATGTGATTTTCTCTTTGAACATTTCTGTTGCACTCACCTTAGCACACGTGTGTGCATGCGCTCATGCGCACGCACACATACACACACACACACACACACACACACACACACACACACACACAGCGTCAGCATCAGCATCATTATCTTTGGCAAATGAGTACTATTGATCCATGTAATTCTTTATATCTCTCATAACTGTGTAAATGTCTTGCCTCTGTCTTAGAACATAAGAAAAATACTCCTGATAACTTGGACAATGATAGAGAAAATGACTCTGAGCCTTAGTTGTCATCAAAATTATATTCTATCTGCTAAGGTGGCATTGGAAAATAAGGCTTGCAAACCACAGCCTCTCCAAGTTGCCCTCCTGTCCCTCTGACTCCTTTCTTGTTATCCCAGGAGAAAATGGGCCTTTGCACTCCATTCATCATTGGGAACCTAGACGTGTTTGTTTTTCTGGTTCTAATAAGCAATAATTCTTATCATGAAATAATCCATTTATCCTGGAGTTTGGAGGGAAGGATAACTGATTTATCTTTTATTTTAATCTTCCACAAAAGCAGTACTACCGATTTTGCTTCCTACACGTCTCTGAGACCCAGATTTAGTGCCCCATTCACCATCAGGGTCGTTGTCTGACTAACTTTGGAAGGACAATGGCAGAACTGAATGAGATGTTTTCCGGTAATTCAGTCACAGACATTTTTCAAATCTTTTCTATAGCCTTTGAATGATGCTCAAGCTAATAAATCAGTATCCAGGTCTCTAGTCCTCAAAGATCTTACGGGGTTGATTAGAAGGGAACAAGTTTACTGCTGGGGTCCTTTTATGTGACCCATGTGACTAAAGGTACCATCTATCTGCTATCTGCATAAAGGAGGACCTCGACTTTGAAAAAGGAAAACATTGCTCTTTGAGATACTTGGTTATAAAATGTTTGGCAGAGGGAAAAGGAAGAGGGTCTAGAAAAGTAAACTAAAAATGTTCTCCTTGGTTTGGGATCATTGGGACAACCAGGAGCAAACCTGTGTGGTTACAGCTGCCTCTGTGGGAAGACAAGGTAACTTGACCACTTGTGTTCAGAAAGGGCAATGCCAGAGTAGTCAGACATTCCTATGCTCTTTGCATCTGGAGAGGAACATGAGGGCCTTCACAGCTTCCTCACCTCTGTTCTTTATAGCCTCAGCCTCATTTTTGACTAGATACTACGTCACATTCACACTGGCCCACGTGCTAGAAATACTTGCCAGTAAGTTGTGTATTTGGATGCCACCATCCCTGGGAGCTTGGATGTCACATAACAGGTTTAGTGTATATATTTGCAGACAACATAACCCTGAAAAGATGAAAGGCAGAATAGGTAAGGTCTGACTTGGGAAAAGAAGAGGAAGTGCCAATTGGGGTGGAGTGGGGAGGGACATGGAAGCCAGAGTGTAGGGAGTGATTCTTAACCTTGGCTGGACATAAGAATCACCTAAGGAGCTTTTAAAATTCCCAATTATATTGAAATCTCTCAGAGTGGGAACCAAACATCAGTATTTTTTAAAGCCCCCAGGTGGTTTCAATGTCCAGCCAAGGTTGACCACCACTGCTTCATGGCCAACTAAGGAAGACCCTTTTGTCTACCTTGGTTGGTTTCCAAGCCCCACTTCCAAGGGGCCAGGGAAGGCAAGATGTAGAAGATACGGTATTAGCTGGATTGATATTCATTTTGTGTCACAACCCAAAACAAATGTTTTGTGCAAATTTCTGACCAGCCAGTGCCCCATTAACTCTTAGCTCTTGTGATTTTCTCCTATGCGACTTGGCCAGTAATTATTCCCATTCAAACATCTAGGTTTTGATTACCTTATACCTGTGACATCACAAAACATCAGAAATATGAGAAAATCAACAGCATGTAAAGCTATGTGGAAAACTAATTCTCAATAGTTTCATAGTGGAAATGCTCAAAACAATCTTACTAAATCAGGTCCAAATTTATTACTCATTCATTGCTTGGAGGAGATATGGGTACCAGGTACCTGTACTGCTATAGGTATATTTTATTGGACTTGGGTTTAGCAAGAAGGGAGAACAACTCTTCCTTTTTTATTGTTAGCTCCGAGGGTCACTTGGATCCATTTTCTTAGTAACTGGACATGCATTTCAAGGGAGAAGAAGGCCTATAACTCACTATCTGGCCTCCAATGCCCTGAAAGAGTGCTTTCACCTCCAAAAAGGGAGAGTGCGCCTATCCAAGGCAACAATACTCTGTGAGAAAACTCACGAGACTTCTCTTCTCTCATACTGCTCCCCCGAGTACTGGCCCACCCTTCTCAGCTGCAAAGTCAGAGAATAAACTAGGTGATGGTTATGGACAAGTGTACACAGAATCAAAATCTCTAATAAACTATAATTTTTAGTACTTAATTATGTGATGTTTTATTCTAGGAAATAAGAAACAGATGATATCATTGATGTATCTTTCTTTCATCTTCAGAATTTTTGCATCTTTTCAGAAAATGACAAAATACTATTTTTCTGTTTCACTCAGCAATTGTGACTATACTTAAAATTCTTGTAGTCTGTAGAGATATCAATAAAATTGTATATGTTTGTACATAGATGCTCTCTTATGTTATGATGTGATGAACTACTAATGACTTTTGCCAAGACTAAATATGGACAGCGGTAAGACCCTCATTTGCAACACCGTGAACCATAGTTTTACAAGTATAATTATTTTTAAAAGGCAGGGAGATGGGTAGGGGAGCAATGTACATCATATATATTTAAACTAAAAAAAACAAAGGAACAAAACAAAATCCAAATTCCCTAAACTCCAAAAGGGTAGAAGCCATTTAAATTATCATCAAATTGGGAGATATGTAACTTTTTATTGGAAGATTTTGCAGATAATTTTTGAGGATGTTGACTGTTTTCACCTTTGGTGAACCCCAAGTTAAACCTTAGCTTGGTGGGAGTGCAGGGAATAAACTGAGGCTGAATGAGATGTACTTAGGGCATTCAAACCTTACTCCCTCACTTCCTTTAAAGCTCACTTTAAAAATAAGCTATTGTGAGCTTATACCACCACCTAGTGGTTATAATGAACATTCATTAACCCAGCACCTCCAAAAGTCCCCTAGAAAGAGTGCACACTCCTGCTCCTCTGGCTTTCATCTGCACAGTCAATGCCTCTTCAAGTACTTTCTTTATACTGTTACCTACACTGTGGCATTAGCCAGCCCATTATATTCCTCCAAAAGCTGTCTAATTATTTCAGGAAAAGTTTCCCATCACCACAATTTCCCTCCTACTTTTTGTCCCATATTAAAAAGAAGAAAACAAAAACAAGAAACTAACCCTAGGCTAAAAAGTGCTTTTTGATTAAAAGTACAAATATAAAGACAGACACAATAAAATCCAAATGCCCAAGTTTCCCTTCAATAATTTTCTTAAAGGATCCATTTACCACACTCACTCTCCACGTATCTACATTCAGTAGTTGGGGCGGGGCCCTGTGGTCCTCACTTGCTAACTCAGCCTCACCCAGGCAGGGGCTTCCTTGGGGTTCTCTATCATGCCCTGGCCCCTGAGTCAAACTGCTCAGCATCTTGATGTCATCGCTTTTTCATGAGAATTTTTTCTTTTAATATGTCATTTTTATAATCTTTTATCTTTGACTTTTGAACTTTGTTTTAAAGGCCTTTCCATCTACATAATAATAAACATTTTCTTACATCTTCTTCACTTTCATAGATTTATTTTTTATACCAGTCTTCTAATACATCTGGAATTTTGGTATAGGGATCTAGCTTGACCTTTTGACAAAAGGATAACATATCACTACACCTCTATTTTTGAATGACTCACCTTTTCACCACTAATTTGAAAGGACATTTTTACATAGACATACATATGTCTGTTTCCTAAATTCTCAAGTAATCCCTTTGTCTATTTCTGTCTCCTTATCAAACTGTTAATTATATCTTTACAATATGTCCTAATATGTGATAGATATCTTTGATCTTTTTCAAGTTTGATAGGTATTGATTTTTTTCTCTCTAGGTGCATTTTAGGATATTATTGATCTTTTAAAAAATCCCTGTTGAAACTTTGATTGAAATTATAGTAAATTTATAGGTTAATAATGATTTTTTTTCTGGCATCACTTCCTTTAGGATATCTTAACCCTTTTTTCACAACCATTTTCCTTTATGTTGATAATTTGCCTTCACAAAGTTTTTCAAGTTGCATGTCTAGAGTATTTCAAATGTCATCAGCATCAATATTTCCACAGACAGCTATTTCTTCTAAAACTCTAGTTCGATTTGAATTTCACTTATAGAGGCACCATTTTCCACTTCTCTGATGTACTTGCATCTTATTTAGCCAATTTTTTTCTTTTGCTTACCCATTTTTTGTAAAATGCCACAGATTTGACACTGGGAGACATGAGTCAATACTGCTGCATGCTTTATTGCCTGTGTGCAAAGTGAATGAGGAGTGTGTGGTTACTAATCATAGACAGACTTTGAAAGAAGTGAAGTAACTGGTAATTGATCATGATGCATGTACTAGTTTTCCACTAATGCAAACAAATTACTACAAACTTACTGGCTTAAAACGGTAATAACTGAGATGGTCACTAAGATGGCGACATAGGTCATTCCTAACTTCACTCCCTGTCACAAGAAGAACTAACAAACTGCTCATGAACAAGACACCACTGAAAAAAATCCTAGAAGACAGGGGTGCGACTGAAGGGTAAGAGGGGCAGCTACCCGCTAACCGCACTGCGGCTTCCCCAGGCTGGCACCGCCCACACTGAGAGGTCTCTCCCGAGCCTGAGGTTCCTCCAGGAGGACGAGAGAGCCCAGGGTGGACATCGAGCATGTGGGTCCTTCTTGGGAGAACCACCATGGTCTTGCATCATTACGATCTCTGTGGGATCTGCACATGGGAACCTGCTAGGCTTGTCC